CTTCTGTTGTCATGTGGCCAGCCTGATTATATGCTGAGGCATACAAAATACTGGTACCTTCCCACCAAAGTGGTACCGATTTATCTACTCGCATTTGCATTCTTTTAAACTGCTGGTAGTCAGGCTTTGGGGCAAGGATGGGTGCTCACCCGATCATACTACGCTCTGGTGTTAATCCCAGGCTATCAGCTTTCCAATTGACAAGCTCAGCGTCTTTAACTCCTGAGCCATCTTGCCCCCTTTATACATCATGCTAAGCCATAATATGGTTTGATTTCGGTTTAATATTACACCCATCCATTGTAATTTGCAAACACTGCTTTATAGCTTAGCATGTGATACAACATTTATTCAGCAAACTGTAAGTTAAACAAGCCTGATCTGGTTTGCTGATAGCATATCATGTAGTGTCAACCTGGCTATTTTATTTTTAAATCATGGTTTATGACTTAATGTACAATATTGTGCAATGCCAGTTTATTTAAATAAAATGTGAAGTGTGAAATCAAACAATATATACAAAATACTTACAAGGCTTTCTATGACAGGGCTTGTCAACCAGTGGTACGCTACCACTTGTGGTACTCAACCACCTGGCTGGTGGTACGCGGCGTCGCCTTCCTCCCCCCCCACTCTGCTCTTTCCCACCTCACTTGTTTGTGGAAAATATGCTGCTTGGTGGCAGCCTGCACGAACTTTACCACCTGGGCTTGACAGGGAGAGAGGGAGGGAAGGAGGAAGGGACTCCTCCTCCTCTCCTAAGGTTCAAAGCATGATCAGCTTCCCAAGGGCGCCACAATCCCAATTCATGTGTTTCTACTGTACCTCCTCGGCGCTCCCGGGAATGGGGCGGGCGGAAGAAAGCTTGGCTAGGCTAGGCAAAGAAAAGTCACAGAGCCGCGAGCTCAGATCGCAGGGAGGCCAGGGAAGGGGGTGAAGAAGAGGAAGAGGATTGGGAGAGAGGAAACGCCAAGCTTGTCCTCACCTCTCCCAAGAACCTCCTGCGCCACCTCACAGGAACACCTGGTTTCAGATTCAGATTCAGATTTCCCAAGGGCCGATGACACATTTCCCGCAGCTGGCGACCATGCAAGCCCTGGCAACTGCTCCAGCCTCCTGCGCCCGTCAGCTGGCAATCCCCGGACCTACGCCTATCAGCTGGAATGTCAGGCAATGCTTTGGCCGGTGTGGAGGATGAAGGGGAGGCTGCCGCAGTGCAGAACTCCTGCACCCGTCAACTGGCGACCTCCGGACCTGCACCCATCAGCTGGGAGGTCTGGTGACGGAGCTGGCTGGCGTGGAGGGCGATGGGGAGGCAGTGGCTCAGCAGGCGGGGTCCTGCCTGCCCGCGAATGTCGGGCCCACCAGCCCCATCTGTAAAAGAAAAAATCTTCCACCCAAGCATAACTTTTAAGGATTTTAAGGATCTTTGAGAGGGAGAGAGAAATAGAGAGAGGAAGGGAAAGAGAAATGGAGAGAGAAAAAGAGAGAGGGAGAGAGAGAAAGAAGGAGAGGGAGAGAGAAAGGGAGAGAGAAAGGGAGACAGGGAGAGAGAAAAAGAAAGGGAGATGGAGAGAAAGGGAGAGAGAAAGAGACGGAGGGAGAAAGAAAGGGAGAGAGGGAAAGAGAAAGGGAGAAAGAAAGAGAGGGAGAGAGAGAAAGAAAGAAGGAGAGAGATTAAATTAGTAACATGATTGTTTAGTGAATCTGGTTTCCCCACTAACTTTGCTTGTCACAAGGTTGCAAAAGGTGATCACATGACCCTGGAACAATGTGACCATCATAAATAAGCATCGGTTGCCAAGCATCCGAATGTAAATCACATGACCCTGGGGATGCTGCAATGGTCATAAGTGTGAAAAATGGTCATAAGTCACTTTTTCCACTGCCGTTGTAACTTTGAACAGTCACCAAGCAAACTGTTGTAAGTTGAGGACTACCTGTACTTTATCACTTTTTTCCATTTTTTTTTTTTTTTTTGTCATCAAGCTTCTGACACCTTGCTGGGTGACTGCTGGTACTCAAATGTTGCCATATTCTAAAAGTGGTACAATCGGCGAAAAGGTTGAAAAGCCCTGCTCTATGAATGCTAATATTATTATATCTTGTCGAAGGAAATGGTGCAGTAAATTTTAAACAAAGAACAGAACGGAACGGAACAGAACAGAACAGAACAGAATAGAATAGAATAGAACTGGAAGGAACCTTAGAAGTCTTCTAATCCAGCCCCCTGCTCAAGTAGGAGGACCTGTCCTATACCATCTCAGACAGGTGATTGTCCAGTTTCTTTTTTAAAACTTCCAGCGATGGAGCACCCACAATTTCTGGAGGTAAGCTGTTCCACTGGTTGATTGTCATCACTGTCAGGAAGTTTCTCCTTAATTCCAGGTTGCTTCTCTCTTTGATCAGCTTCCAACCATTGTTCCTTGTCCTTCCCTCTGGTGCTCTGGTGAACAATCTTACCCCCTCTTCTTTGTGGCAGCCCCTCAGATACTGGAATACAGCTATTATGTCTCCCCTATTTCTTCTTTTCTTTAGACTGGCCGAATCCAAGTTCTGCAGCCGTTCTTCATATGTTTTGATCTCCAGGCCTTTGATCATCTTAGTTGTTCCTCTCTGAATTTTTTCCAGACTCTTAACATCTTTTTTGTGATATGATGACCAAAATTTACAGCAGTATTTGAGGTACGGTCTTATTAGGGCTTTATAAAGTGGTACTAGTACTTCATATGATCTTGATTCTATGCCTCTGTTTACACAGCCCAGGACTGTATTAGCTTTTTTTGGTTGCTGCTGACACTGCTGGCTCATAGTTAAGTGATTGTCCACCAGGACTCCAAGGTCCCTCTCACAGTTGCTGACTCCAAACCAGATCTCGCCCAATCTGTATTTGTTCCTTTGGTTTTTCCTGCCTAAGTGTAAGACTTTGCTTTTCTCCACATTGAAACTCATTTTGTTGGATAGGGCCCATTGTTCGAGTTTGTCAAGATCTTTTTGGATCCTGAGTTTGTCTTCTGCGGTGTTGGCTACTCCTGTCAGTTTGGTGTCACCTGCGAATTTGATGAGTTCCCCTTCAATTCCCGTGTCTAAATCATTTATGAAGATATTGAAGAGTATTGGGCTAGGAAAACTAAGGGAAAATATAAAGACATACATTTCCTTTACTTTAGTTCTGTGGGTTTACAATAAATTCTTCTTAAATTAAAAATGCCTTTTTTAAAAAAAGTCACCTAATCCCATTTTTAAAGTTTTTTAGTGCCTTCATGTCAGTGCCTGAACTATCCTGCAGTTTTCTTGGCAAAATTTCAGATGTGGCTTGCCATTGCCTCCATCCTAGGGCTGAGAGGGAGTGAGTGGCTTAAAATCATCTGACTATTTTGTGCCTCATAGTCTCCCTGTTTCTAGTCTGGTACCTTACACCTTATTCCAAACTGAGTAATCCCATAGCAATACAGCTACCGTAACTGCTTTGAAAATCCAGACAACCACTAGATGGCAAAATGATATTTTAGTTGGGTTAATGACATGATTATAGTCACACGGCTGTCTGCGGAAGTCAGGCTTCATATCTGTGCAGAAGTCAAAATAACCATGCAGGGCAGTGGCCTTCAAATAGAGGGGGCAGGGTGTGGTTATTGTATCCAATAGGACAGTGGTTCTCAACCTTTTTAATGCCGCGACCCCCAACCAATCGTAAGTCGAGGACTACTCAACTGGTGCAGCACCGTTTGCAGAATGGGACTTTTGGCAGGCTTAGCAGGGCAGAGACAGCCTGGACAATTCCTATTGGCTTTTGAAAGCCAATAGAATTAGACTCTATTCAAGAGAGTCTATTCTATTGGCTTTCAAAAGCTAATAGAATAAAAGGGAGTAGCACAGCTAAGGAAAAGGGGGGGAAATGGCGGACTGCATTGTTTGGCGACCCCCGTGAAATAGTTGTTCGACCCCGAATGGGGTCCCGACCCACAGGTTGAGAACCACTGCAATAGGAGCTGGGCAGACCCCTGCTTCTGACTCACTTTCTTCAGTCATGCTGTCTGAACACTAGATGTCATCCATGAAATAAGACTTATGTCAGGAGAAGATGGAAACCACCTTTCCACCTAAATCAGCTAAATATGTAGCTCGCCAGCCTCCGATATGGGCTGGAAATGAGAAGAGGACAGAACCATGAGCATAAGCTCTTAAAATATGTTTAGCAAAATATCTTCTAGCTACAGTTAGCGGGACATGTACATGAGTTAAAAGATCTTATTTGTATAGGTCCCTGTCTATCATTTACTGGTAATCTCTCACTCTCAGAGTCTCATGAGGTAGCAGGCCCTTCCTAAAGAATATGGATGAAGACACAATTTCTAAAATGGTGATTTGGGGCACATTTAGTGTGACTAGAGCACTGGTACATTTTGACTGTGCTAAAACAGACTTAAATATGATGGAGAAACCAAGCTGCAATCTCTGGGTTTATTTGGGATGTTTCTGGTACTGAAGAGAATGTAAGTGCGTACAGCGAACCAATGTTTAGATAACACCTGAGCAAAGAGCCCCATTTTAAGCATCCCTTCTCCTGTCTGTAGTACCATTAAGAGGTTGGATTTTGAAGCCAGTGCCAAGCAGAATCTGTAGAGGAGGCCCTTCCATATATGAGGGACTGTGGTGGTAGCACATTTCTAAAATGCCGCTGTGGACATAGAGCAGGAGTCTTCAAATTTGGCCCTTTTATGACGTGTGGACTTCAACTCCCAGAATTCCTCAGCCAGCGTGAGGCATAGAGTCTAGCGACTAGGAGGGTGCCTGGGGTAAATCAGGGATAATGAAAACCACGCCACCAAAATGGAAGAGAAGCAGGGCACATTAGAAATGCCTCTGCTATACAAAGCATGGAAGTCCCTTTGACTTCTGAATCTCCTTCTCCATTCTCCTTTCTCCTCAGTGTGCGATTAAATTGAATCAGATTTGCTCTGCAACAGCCAGCAAAAGAAGAACATCTCCACAACCAGTTTTGTGCTGCATAGTTTATTTATTTCTTTTGTAGGACCAGTACGTGTTGGGGTATAGGGCTAGGAGTATTCATTCTCTCTCCATGTCCTCTCTCTCCATTCATTCACAATGACAGACTGTTCTCTGCTGGCTCTCTCTCTCTCTCTCTCCATCACCTGATCACCTGCCAGTTCCTTCTCTTCTCTTCTCCACAATCTTTTGCAGGCCTTTCAACAGTCCCCGTGAGGCAGATTTGGGATGTGGCAAGGGATCATGCTCCAGGCAGGTAAGCTTGCATGTGTGGGTATATTGCTCCTGGCATCTTGCTCCTCTCCCCGGCGGCCATGATATCCAACCTCCCAAATTAGGAGCTTCACTTCACTTCACAGCAGGCATGGGGGAGGGCTTGTCCCCTTCTGGGCCCAAGTCATCTCCTCTCAGAGGCCTCACTCACTTTCCCCTTTAGAGATCCTCATTCTCCTAGCACTCTAGCCTACACTTGTAGGAAAAACCCCAAGACAGGAAGGGGGGAACCTTGTCCAAAAAGAGCTTCAGTAGCATAGCAAACGGGACAGACAATCACTGAGCTTAGAGATGCAAGCATCACCCATCCGCCCGCCCACAAGCAAGGAGTCCTGCTCCCTGAGGGTAGGGGCAACTCTGTGGCTTTGGTCCCGGAGGCAAGACTGGGCAGGTGACTCAGCCTCATTCTCTGGGCTATGCTCACACATCCCCCCACTTTCCTCTGTCTGTGCAGGGCCTGCAGGTAGCTCTCATTACTGCTGCAGCAGAAGGACCCAGAAGGGGCAGGGACCCACACTCAGGTTGGGAGTGTAACTACACATGGCTATCAGAGCACACATAGGTGACTCAGGGCACGTGTCACCATGTAAAGGCAGATGAGAGTTTTCTTTTCAGGCAATAGTCAGACCCCATACAGGGGCAGGAAGCCTCACCTCTAACACATGCATGCATGTACCACACACACACACACACACACACACACACACACACACACACAAAGCTGCAACTCTCTTTCTGCCCTCCTCCCGCCCAAGGGCAGGAAAAGAATAGAACAAAAAAGCAAAGGAAAGGGAGTGCAGAAAGGGAGCCGAAGGAGAGAGGCTTTGGGGAACACAGAAGGCTTCTTGTACATTCAGTTGAGCGGGTGAGGTTGTCCAGTGGTGCTCTTACAAAAGGAGGATGTGGGAGAAGGTGTGGGAACTGGCATCCCCTGATTTTTGCACATGAAAAGGAGCGGGTTGAGATGGGCCAAGTCGCTCTGGGGGTTACAAGACCTACAGCATTTCATGCTGTTGCTGCGTGGCTTCGCTGACCACCTGAGGAAAGACAGAGATTTCAGTTAGGGAAAGCCCTACTCCCACCCTCCTGGGCCTTCTCCCCAATCAGGTGGGGCGCCTTTGCTTGTTCCCACCATTGGCTTCCCTATTTCTGCTTTATAGGGACAGAAGAAAAAGGAAGACAACTACATCCAACTGTGTTCCTTCAGATGCATCTCCCATTCCTTATTCTCAGTCTCACATCAACAGGGTGAGTGGTTCTCAACTTAGAATGTTCCCCCTGCTCCATAATAGGACGGAATGACACACTCAAGACTACCTTTATTGACTTTTCCTGGGGTTTTCTATTGGGGTTGCTAACCCTTCTGATGTTCATCAACGCCCACAGCCTGTCAGCTTACCTCCCCATCACGTGTCTCGATGGTTTTGATGGTCACTGTTTTTTTGGTATGAACCTCAGCGCTCCTTTGCTCTGGGCTGGTCTCTGTGGGACAGAAAGAGGCATTGGTTGATAATGGGTGCACTCTGGCATGCATTTCATGGGAGAATCCCATGAAGAATTTGGAGTCCAGAGAATTTGGAGGGTGGGCTCTGTGATTAGGGATGTTTTCTTCCAAGCACAAGCTCACTGTTCTCCATGACTTGCTCACACCAAGACTTAAGAGGAGATGGGTACCATGTTCACTTCATGTCCCTGATACACATACACACACACACACCCCACCGGCACTTGCCAACCTAACCAAACAGTGTATATAATGCAATAAATATTGATGCCAAAACAAAACAATCTTCTAAGCTGTTATTCAGTTCTACTAAATTTGGCCACAGCATCAAGGCAGAACTTGAATTCAGAACTAGAATTACCACAGCTATGATATTTTGGCTTGATTGCCCTTATCTTTTAGCCTTTATAAGACTCTTTTTGGAGACAAGGGAGAGTTTATTCTCATTTTGATGCAATGCCGAGAAACTAATAGCTATCCTGTTTGGTTTTGTTAGCGGTATGTATGTTTGTAGTATTCATCATGCTTCATTTCTTAATACAGTCGTCTTTGTGCATGGTGTCTCACCCAAGAAACATGTCAGAAAGAAACGTAAGAGGAGAGATGGACTCATTCAGCTCATTTATACATTTCTGGATAGAACTGTATATTATTATGCCTGGTACCAACCCCCACCCCCAAAGAACCAACTGTAGAGAAAAGCAGCTTTAGGTGAGACTGGCTTGGAGGTGAAGGTAGGCTGGGATGTATCATCCTTTCTTTGTCTGAGTGTTTTGTTCTGAATCTGACCCTCCTCCTTGCAGAGTTGAGGGGTTTCAGATACATTTGTCCTTGCAGGCCCATTTCAGGAACTCCAGTTAGAATTAGAGAGGCAGAGAGGGAGAGTTATAGTTGCAGAGAGTGACTCTGTGAGTGGTTTCTAAGTTTGATAAATATATATATAAATAAATATAGGGAAGGGCGCTATTTTTAACTGAAAAGCAATCTCTTTCTCCCCTGCCTCTAAATGCCATCCTTTAAAATCAAAAAAGGGTTTAGTCGGGAATAAGCAGAACAGATTATGATAGGCATGAAACACGTAATTCCATCCTCATTTTAATCACTATTCTAAAATGAATCTTGGGGATGGGCTTTCGTCCATTTCTGCTCCGTTTTAGCATTACAAAACAATCCACGTGATTTGCATGCCCATAGATCTTTTTAACCACATAGACCAGATCCATGTCACGTACCTCGGAAGTTGATGGCAGAAAAAGTTTGAATGGGCAGTGAAATTCTGTAAGGAAGGGAAAGGAAAGGGAGATTAAAGTAGCCTTGTCTTTCTTTTCTGTTTTCAGATTTCCTATGTTCTATAGCAGCCTCCCCAATAACCCTCATTATCCCTTATGGTCCTTTTAGGAATAACAACAACACTTAAATCTGAACTAATTGTATTCTTCTGGCTTGCATACTGAAGTGTTGTTTCCAGTCTTCTTGTTGTAATTCTAACATGGCATCTTCATGCAAATTCAGCATTATTACAAAATGTAAGTCCCACTAGTCCAAACTGCTCAGCCAAAATGAAAAGTAATATTGGCTTCAAGAGAATCACTGGTCTATTTCTTTCCTAAGAGAAGATGAATGTCACCAACTGTCACAACAGAAGGATGCATTTCCTTCTTTGTTATCCTTTGCTGTCACCAAGCACAAAGGCAGAGTTCAGATACTGTCATAAGCCACGTCTCTTTTACTCAGTCCAGAATTGCGGTAGATTCTTGTGTAGCAGTAATACACTAACACTTCACAATCGGTGTACAAACCCTACTACTATTCCATCAGAACAAAACCCATCCCAGACCAATCATCTACCAACTTTAATGGATGTAAAGCTACCTTTACAGGACACACAGATGCAGATAGTGCTCACCTGCTCTCTTCACCCTCCAGCAGCTTGCGGTAAGTGGCAATCTCAACGTCAAGAGCCATCTTGACATTGAGCAGGTCCTGGTACTCGCGCAGGTGCCGTGCCATCTCATCCTTCAAATGCCTGATCTCCTCTTCAAGCCTCTGGATTGTGTCCTGGTAATTGCCAGCCTCGCCGGCAAAGCGCTCCTCCATCTCCCTCATCTGCCTCATCAGAGAGTCATTCTGGAAGTCAAGAGGAGGAAAGCAGTGAGGAGAAAGAAAAGAGGATTTCTACCCCCTCTTTTTTGGGTGAATATAAAAAAAGACACCCCCCCCATCTCCCATCCATTCAAGGGACATACTGTAAGAGATTGTTGATTGGGACCATAAGCTGAGATTTTACCAGTCAGCCTATATGAGGATCTTCAGCTGGCCATAGAACTTTCTCTGCATTAAACAGATCTTCTGTCAGTCTCCCTCAGAGATCATGAATGACCTCTCCATCTGACAGCTGTGCAAAACTGCAGCTGCCTGAGCAGTTTGCGTTCTCCATGCTTCCCTTGCATTTGCGTCAATGAGTGTAGGGAAGAAGAAAAATGTTCCTCCCTAAAATGGTTCAATGCAAGGTCCAGCATTCTGAATTTGACTCCATGATTAATCTGGCGTGGCAGCTCACTCACCGTGCCCTTGAGAGCATCAATCTCACAGGTGAATGATTGGATTTGATGCCGGTACTCCATCATCTCCTGCTTGGCTTGGCGAATGGCATCATTGTTTTTATTTGCTGCCTGAGTCAGGTCAGTCACCTGTAGACGGAGGGGGGAGGAGGAGCAAATAGAGCACACAGGTGGATTAACAGGAGTGAATCCCATGAGTGGAAACTAACTCCAATCACCCCTAGTCTTTTAGCTAAGTGAAACTGCTCTTTCTCCCGACCTTGGACTTGTACCACTCTTCTGCTTCAGAGATGTTCTTTGCAGCAATGTTCTCATACTGGGCACGGATGTCACGCAGTGCTGCGGTCAGATCTGGCTTTGACACGTCCATCTCCACCTGGATTTGTTGTTCCTGCAGCTGGGATTGCATTTCTCTAATTTCCTGGAGAGGTCACAAAGAGTGTACCATCAGGCCAATGCAGTAGGGAGAGGCTTACTAGCCACCTCCCCTAATCCATACTGGTTAGGCACCAAAATCCTTGTACTCAAAAATATTGGGAACCATCGAAGTGAAAGGCGGCTTTCAGTTGTGACAAAACCTTCTCCAACATGATCTTTCAAGAAGATATAAACTATTTCTCACTAATGTATGGTGGATTAAACCATTGGGTTACTAAATTAAGCCAGTTCCCAGCCAAGAAGGACATTCAGCCAGAGTTTACTTCTTTATTTGCTTAGACACAATAGGCAGAATCTTGACAGACTAAACCAGGGGTAGGCAACCTCAGCTCTTTTATGACTCATGGACTTCAACTCCCAGAATTCCTGAGTCAGCATAGCTGACTCAGGAATTCTGGGAGTTAAAGTCCATGAGTCATAAAAGAGACGAGGTTGCCTACCCCTGGACTAAACCCTTACTCTCTCACCTTAATTGATACACCCTGGGAGCTTCTAGGGCAGTGGTTCTTAACCTTTTTAATGCCGCGACCCCCAACCGGTCGTAAGTCGAGGACTATTCAACCGGTTGTAAGTCGAGGACTACTCAACTGGTGCAGCACCATTTGCAGAATGGGACTTTTGGTGGGCTCAGCAGGGCAGAGACAGCCTGGACAATTCCTATTGCCTTTTGAAAGCCAATAGAATTAGACTCTATTCAAGAGAGACTATTCTATTGGCTTTCAAAAGCCAATAGAATAAAAGGGAGTAGCACAGCTAAGGAAAAGGGGGAAAAAATGGCGGACTGCGTTGTTTGGCGACCCCCGTGAAATGGTCGTTCGACCCCAAATGGGCCCCGACCCACAGGTTGAGAACTACTGTTCTAGGGAGTAGCTAGTCTTACTTTCTCCTATCCAGCTCCAGGCTGTGCTGCCTTTTGTCTCCTCCCCACCACCCTTTGTGAAATGTGTTCTTTCCTTCCTTCCTTCCTTGGAAACTGCTGTTTCACTGTAATCCATCACATCAGCTCCCCCTCTATATGCACCATCTCTTACAGAACCCCAAACTAACAACAATAGCTTGATTTACATCGCAGGTTGGTAGGGTTTGCCCAACATGTTGTGCCATCGTACCAAAACGTGGTGCAACCTAGCAGGAGAAGGCTGGTCTGGTGACATGCAACTTTTGATACTTGATACCATCTTCCATATTTTTTTTCAATTAAAGCTGCTATTATAGCTAAATTCTGGGCTTGATTTTCACCATCCCCTTCAGCAACCTCACCCCTCCTTCCCTTCTAGAAGCCATCGTTTTGAGAAGCCCCAAGACACATGTACAAGACAGCTGCTTACTTCTTCATGCACTTTTTTGAGGAAAGCAATTTCTTCCTGCAATGTTTCGATACGCCTCTCCAAGTCAATACGGGCCAGAGTGGCTGCATCAACATCCTGTAATGGCAGAGAAAAGAGGAGCATAACCTCAGCAGTAATAATAGACCCAAGAGGTTGGTCCTCATTAAAAGAGCACAAATTCACTGAATAAGGAAATGAGCTCAACTGCCATTTAACTGTGTGCTCCTGAAAAGGCCGAGAGGTTATGCCCACCCCCCCTCTGATTTTTGACTGACATCATCTGGGAATCTGACCAATGAAAACAATAGTGGAAATTCTGAAAGCCCAGGAAATGAGTGGGAAGGACCCCAACGGAATTAATTCACATGATCCTTGAACAAAAGGGCTACTAACATTTTCTAACATCTCTCCAGTTTCTAGCAATATTGACAATGGCAGGGCAGTTGCCCTCATCTTAATTCCAAATTCCTTGAAATTCAGGGTAAATGCTGCTCCATTGTATTGTATGCATCCCTGAAGGAGTACTTAAACTATTCCCTCTGGCATATTGATTCTACTACTATGAATGATTCAAAACATTGTATCATTTAGAATATGCTAAATATTCTAATAACATGTTAAATGTTCATGTGCACCTAGATTGCACAATGTTGTAGACAAAACAGGAGCCGGTGTTGCAATTATTCAAAAGGGGCTACACAGTATAGAAGGCTGGCGACTTGATGTTCTCCAGAAATCTTGTTTTAACTATAATCCTAATAATTCCTTATATTTTGAAATCCAAATACCAATTGTCTACCACTTTGGAAAAGATCTGAGAAAGCGCTAATAGCTGGGGGGAAAGGCACAATATGTCCTCTCAGAAATGAAGGGGCAAAAAAAAAAAAACCAAAAAAAAAAACAGCTAAGCATGCAACTTTTAAGTATACAAAGTGATATTCCTTTTGTGCTATTTCACAAATCTTTTCCTCATTTTCCCAGACATGCTGGAGGAAACATTTGAACTTACAGCTCTGAAAGCAGCTAAGTTGTTTTCTGCTTCTTCTTTAAGATGAATCTCCTCTTGCAACCTGTGAAAAAGGGGCAGAAAAATGAGCATTGGGAAGACTGGGAAATCACCGATTGGTCTACATAAACAGCATTTCTCATGCTTTAGAAGTCAAGGCCAGTGCCTCACCCTAAACCTCTGACATGCTACCAAGCCACTTTAGTAAGATATGCATCAGGAACGGGCAATTCTCCTACATTCCAAAGGGAAGGGGTGGGATCTGGCTGGTGGCCAGGCTGGGAATGGAGCAAGAACATGTCCTCTCATTGCCTGTTTTAGTCAAAGCCTTAAGCACAAAGGCATGAGCTCACTGATGGATAATGCTTACTCCCCCTTCCCTTTTAGGGTAGCACAGCTTTGCTCTACTGAGAAAAGCTGAAGCAGGAGCCAGAGACTTGCAAAGAAGCAGCATGCAAACTCTTGGGATGACCCTCAGCCTGGGATTCTGGAGATGACTCGATATGAAAGATACATAAGGTGTGGGAGACAGGTGGAAGGCTACCAAGATGCTGAAATTCAAAATCTGTTTTCCAGGTATTTTGACATGGGATTAGTGTAGCATCACCCAAGTCGACTTTTTCTCACATATATTCAGAATTTGGGATTATAAGGTCTAATCACAATCAGCCAGGATGGTTATTGTTTGTAATGGCTGAAGAAATTGAAACTGTAATCTAACATTTCTGTGGGGTTTGAGATTGGGAAAGGCTCAGCTTCAGGATTTGGACACTAAAGTTAGTGAATCATGGCCCTGGAGTTCTAGTTTCTATATCCTCAACTACTGTATCCATAGTTGTGTTTTTTTATGTTTATAAACACAGCACCCTCAAACCTTCAGTTCTAAATTGTCCAAGTTCCTGACATCTTAAACTACAATTTCAATAGTTGTTAGTTGCAGCTGTTGTCATATAGAGATAAGGCTTGCAGAGGCGGTCTTCTGTATAAGATTCTTGCATCAGCTTGACCCTATCTCATGCCTCCTGATGTTGGCATGGATGCTGGGAGATGTGATTCCCCAGATCTTAAGGACGCCAAGTTAGGAAAGGCTGTTTGGTACCCACTTCCATTTCTTTTTATGTGGTTTGGTGGGAAAGAGCACAAGAAAAGGACAAGTGATGCCATTTGCTACCTGATTATAAGTCTTGGACATTCAATTTGCTACGATCCAAATGAGAAAGAAAGTTCATTTTTGCTTCTCCACAGCAATAAACACTCAAGCCAAAGATCACACTTGGTGTATGCTATAAAGAACCAACAAATAAAATGATGATCCCCAAATTTAGTGCACATCTGCTCACAGATCCAGGAGAACATTTGAATGATATATTTATGTTTTTATTCTTCTGTAAGCTACTCAGGGTCACTTTGGATAATGAGATGAGATTAATTTATTTCATTAATAAATAAAATACATATCTGATTGGAAGACATTGACCCCTGGATTTCTTTGCCTAAATTTCCCCCTCTCGTGTATATGCACTTCCTGTCAACATGCTCAACCTTGCTTATCTGGCTGTTGCTTTCTTCTGGCAGGGTCCACTTGTGCCCTGTCAATCACAAGGGAGTTAAATCTGGAGGAAAAGAGAAAGCTTCCAAGAGGACTGGCCACAGAGTAAAGGCCTAAGGATTATCCTTCCAGAAGCAGGATACAAAGGGCCCTCCTACTGAACAGCCCAGTTTCCCCCTCAAAGTATTGTACTATTTTCATCTCTCTCCTGTTGTTATAGCATTAACCTGTTCCATTGCTAGTATAAGGTGTGCCAACGCACGTCCTGTGAACCCAACTATTGAACTCTCCAGAGAAAGCAAACCATGACTTAGCATGATTTGTGAGCCCATCTATTACGTAAATCAAGCTGAGCAGCGATCATTAGGGCTGCAAAAGCTGTAATTATACTGGTACAAACTGTAGGGGGTTATGAAGAATCCGCTGACATACAATGAAGAGCAATATCAGATGACTTCCTGGGAGTCACTTTTCCTAATAAACTGAAACTGGATTTTTTTCTCCCTTGTGAGTAGAAGAGAAATTCTAGAACAGGGGTCTTCAAACTTGGCCCTTTTATGACTTGTGGACTTCAACTCCCAGAATTCCTCAGCCAGGCACACAGGAATCCTGGGAGTTGAAGTCCACAAGTCATAAAAGGGCCAAGTTTGAAGGCCTCTGTTCTAGAACTAAGATTTATAGACTTGGAAGATGTTCTGGGTAACATGGAATCTTGACCACCTGCACCCGCTTCAGTTCTGTAATGTACATTTTTTTAAAGGATAACGGCACTGTTGAAGAGGGATTCTGTTACTATACCACTAATATATTTAATGTGCAATCCCAGAAGAAAATTGGTTTCTGGCTCTCACATGGAACTAATTAATTTAAAAGTTTTAAATCCACCCTATTTCTAATCATCAGGATATCATTTTTCTTTATTTCAGCTCTTTAAAAACTCCTAGAAATAGATCATCAACATAGACCCGTGGCACATATATCCTGAGCTAGTCAAGGGCTTGCTTAGTTGGGACATAAATAGACAATTTACATCATGCAGGAAAAAAACCCAGAGCTACCTCATGGAAAGAGGCAACCATCAGTCATCCTCACCCTACCAAAAGGAGTCAAGAGTTGATCTGACAAGAACTTGCAACAATTGTTTAGAGTATCACACCTCCTACCTCCACCCCATCCCCTGTGTGCAACTACAAGGAAAAAGCAGACCTAACTGGTGTGGAATTAAACTAAAGAGATCCCAGTATTTGATAAGGAAAAGCCCAGTATTTGATAAGGAAAAATTATCCACTCCCTGCATAAATAAAATTACATGTGTAATTTTTCCACGAAGTCAAATCCAAACAAAATGTTTCACAAATATAATTTAGTCTTTTCATCCAATTTTTTTCTAAAAAGGCAGGGATTGGTGACCTTACTACTGATTTCTGAACCAGTACGGATCCCCGTGCCAAAATAAACCTCACAAATATTTTCTCAGCAGACTTAAATACTGTGCTAGGGTTTTTTTTTTTTAGATATTAGCCTTTCTCTTCAGGATGAAGATTTTAGCCCCCAAAAGCTTTCTTAAATTTCTAAAGATGGAAAGGTTTATAAGGAGAGAGTGGTATGTCAGGAAGTCACTGGACACATTCTGAGCCTTAAGAAGAGGGAGTCAAGCTATTCTCCAAAGTTCCTGAGGGCAGGACAAGAAGCAACGGATGGAAACTAATCAAGGAGAGAAGCAACCTAGAACTAAGGAGAAACTTCCTGACAGTTAGAACAATTAACCAGTGGAACAACCTGCCTCCAGAAGCGGTGAATGCTCCAACACTAGAAGTTTTTAAGAAGAGACTGGACAGCCATCTGTCCAAAATGGTGTAGGATTTCCTGACCAAGCAGGGGGTTGGGCTCAATGACCTCCAAGGTCCCTTCCAACTTTATTATTATTATTATTATTATTATTATTATTATTATTATTATTATTATTATTATTATTTTGTTGGGCCCAATGAGATAGATTGTCTCTTATTAGTTATGATGGCAATTTCAGATCAGAGGACAAGAAGTTTGCAACTTCAAGGTGAATGTTGCTCAGTGCCATTTACCCAGGGCCTAGCAAATGTGACATTTGATAAGAGAGCTTTGGCATTGCTATTTGGAAGGTCAGGGCTGGAAGGCCACTCACCCTGGCTGTGATTAGCATTACCCTTCCCTGTTTACTCCATCTCTGGCCAGGGAAGCGTTGTACCTGCTCGTGACTAGGAAGAAACCTTAAATTTACAGATCAACATAAATAGACAGGGATGAGCTTAGAGAAAAAGAAAACATGGTAGCAAATCATGGGCCTCAGTCTCACCTCTGCTTCAGCTTCTGGAGATCATCCAGCAGATTGTCCCTCTCCACATCCACCCGTGCTCGCTGGTTGGTCAGCAGCTCCACCTGGCGCCTCAGCTCCCTCAGCTCTTCCTCATACATCTCAGCAATGCGCGTGGGCTCCTTGCCCTTGAGTCGATTGACTTCAGCCACCATGAGGGCATTCTGCTGCTCCAGGAAACGGACCTTCTCAATGTAATTGGCGAAGCGGTCGTTGAGTTCCTGCAGCTCCACTTTCTCATTTGTACGGGTTTGCAGGAATTCCTGGTTCATGGCATCAGCTAGGGAGAAGTCAAGGACCTCGCCGGCACCTTGATAGGCTGAACGCAGCGGGGCTGAGTAGCTTGCGCGGAAGCTAGAAAGGGTGGGCATTGCAGCACCACGGGACACTTGGTATACCCGAGAGGACATGGAGCTGGAAGAAGAGCCCTTGGTGCCGAAAGAAGCCCGTGGGAAGGAAGGAGATGGGAAGGAAGGGGCAGCTGTCCCGCCGAAGGTACGGCGGTACGAGGAGACCCTCTGGGTGGAGAAGCTCATGGTGGCAGCTTGGTAGGACAGGCAGGAAGGCAGCAGCTACTCTGGGTGAAAAGGCAGAGTCGGGATGACAGCCGGAGCTCTGTCTATTTGTATCCCTGAGTCTTGACATCATCATCCAACAGCCCCCTCCTTCTCCTCTCCCAGTTTGGAACAGCTGTGGATTCCTCTGTTGAGTAAGGGAGGAGGGAGATAGATGGCAGCAGCCAGCAAATAATCACTGGACTCAAGTCGTTTTTTGGGTTCTGCTTGGTAACCGCAGCTGGTTCTTTCTCCAGGAGTAGGCCTAGAAATTGACTCAGAATTCCAGAGAGGATGATGATGGTTAAGAGATATGAAATAGAAGCAAGGAGGGGATATAGAAAGTGGAAGGGATGTATGGAAAGTGGAAAGGGAGTGGAACAGAGATTGCTGTACAAGACAGAAGAGAGCAGGAGATATATTAGGGGGCTTTTATGGTTCCCCCAAAGCCAAAGAAATAAACCTCTGTACAATCCACACACATGTGCACAGATACAAAGACCTCCCAGGCCAGCAAGCTCTCCCACACTGGAATGAAGTCAATCTGAGAAGTATTTATAAAAGACAATGCATAAAGTTTTCCCAGAAAAGTGAAATCTCAGTGAAGCTACACACAGCACAAGTCTAAAAAAGAATGGAGCACAGGGGCTCTGCAGCCATCTCCTAATTACAAAGTGATGACAGCTAATGCCTATCCTGTCCTGGAGCCACTTCTATTACCTTTTAAACCACAGCTGAAACAGCTTTTTTCCAGCAAGCAGAAAAAGAAAAGCCCACCCATCCCCAGGCCTCCTTTGTAAGTGTTATTTTAAATGGAGCAATTTCAGAGAAGCTGAATCACTAACAATTACCCAGCAAGATCATTGCAGAGTGAGGTGGATCACCCTGTTTATCCATGCATCCAGAATGGAGCCTGACAACTAGCAGTCAGAAGTTCCTGACTCACCTCCTCTTTGCATTCTCCCAGGTAGTAGCTACAAGACCTAAATAGCTCTGCCTCTCCGAGCTGTCAGAGCCTATTCAGAGCCAGGAGGAAGGAGCAATGTTAACTCTTTCCGCTCTTAGCTCATAGGAAGACTCAGGATGCCATCTTCAGCCCAGATAGCTACTCAGCTTGTTGAGGTTCAGGCATTCATGTGTCCCCCTTCACAGCATACACTCCCATTCTTCTCTCTGATCCCAACATCATGCTGCCCTTATTTCCCACTTAAACCCACTCATGGGATATGAAGCAAAAAGGCCTCTTCCCGCTGTATTTTCTGGTTCTATGGAGCCTAGAGATTAACCAATAGCTGTCACCCAGTTGGTATGTAGCCTCCCTATCCTCCAGTTCTTTGTTTAAGACCAGCAAAACTGCAGCTATCAATTCACCTTAAGAAAGTGAATCCTGTAATCTGTCTGTAAAATGGATAAAAGAGTACATCCTTCTACCTGGCCTTGAATCTTCCCTCAAGTTCATGGAATGGCTGATGGATGCCCTCAAATTCTTGAAGAAAGTTTAAAAATAAGGCAGATTGGGATCTCAGTCTGGCTATTAACATTCAGATCCACCCACTAGTGACTTTTGTAAATGCACAATAAGACTCTGAGAGAGAATCAAGTCATGTTCAATAAAGCACCCCCACTCCACCCCAAGAGAAACAGGCTACTTTGGGGGAAAATATGAGTAGGTGGCTTTGGCAGCAGATTTGCTGGGAAACTTTAGTAGCCTATCTGGGAAACTAAACTAGCATGGATTTAATAATTTTCAAAAGACATTTTGCATTCAGATTTAATCACCCTCAAATCCTGGAATCTATTATGAACCCTACCATATAGCCTTCTATGTGACAGCTGCAATACACCCTTGTAGATGTTCAGGTATTCTAAGTATAAATATTAGGGATTCATTGGCCAGAAGAACATATGCCCAAATAACAAACTAAATCATAACATAATGTTCAAATTCTTAAGCAAAAAGATTAGATGAATTAAAAACGCTTCCCTCTTTCTCACACTTAACTTTTTCTATACAAAATCCAATAATATGCACAGGCATATTGAGACTTTAATGCAGAGTTTAGATTTCACAAGGTTCCATACAATGCAGTATACATTCCCTTTCTTCAGTGGTGGCTGTAACTTCCTTTCCTATCTTGACCTGAGTAACATCATATAGCCTTTTATTCTTTTCCCAAATTCAAAACTCCATTCCATCTCATCCCATACTTGTCCCTAGCTTTTATGGCATTAAAGCATAACTTGGTACTTGGAAATCCAAAATCTTGCAAATTAAAGGCAAATGGATTAGGGTGGGTGAATCAATAAGCTACTCAAGGACTTAAGAAACAAAATAAGAACAAGGTCACTTGACACCTTAATTCAGCTGAGCAATCCTGATTTGCTTTGTAAATATAGCATATTCTAATGATTGTGTAGTAGTTGTAATAGAAGATAGTAGATAAGAGCATGTTGAAAGAAAAATCTTCATCAGGGTCCAGTCCAAACTGGGAATAAACAAAATGGAGACTGCTTTGGAAAGAAGGTTGCAGTTTATTGAAGAGGAGAGCCAGACAGAAAGATAGCTCTGGGAAAAACTGACCACAGGTAGCTGGGAGTGGTGGGTTTTTATACCTGGGGCTTATGTTCTGGGGCTTTTGAAGTTGTTTCCTGTTCCTGTTTGAGACTTTGTATTTCCTATGTCATGTACTTTGACCTCAGTCTGAGTGTGCCCTTTTGGTATTGGTGGGTTAATCTTATTATGTTTCCTGTCCTTAGAACTTGGATGGGGGTATGTAGATTTTAGGGGTCTTTATCTTCCTAATTTCTTCAGTTTCTAGCTGAAAGGATTATTGAATTTGCATTTCTAAAAGCTGGCTTTGGCCAAGGGGGCTGGGGCTGATTTCTGGGGGCTAGTTTCTGTCTTTTTTAAAGATCTTTTCCATTATTCCTTTGGGGAAATATATTCTGCCTTTTTACTATTTCCCAAAATATTTCTTTCTCTGGATTCTTCCCACAAGCATAAAGAAAAAACAATGTTGATATAGATAAAGAGTTGGTAATTTGCAGCCTGTAACTTCAACCACCTGTTTATACCATCTGACAGCATCTAAAATCATACTATGGAGCTTTATGGTCAAAATGATTGAATTTAAGCAACATGGGTTTTGTTTTGCTTGACTTCACAAAATCAAGGATAAAAACGAGGAAGTAGGAACATTTCCACCTTTAAACTACTCCCAAGGTCTTCAAAATGAGTTGAAATCATTATTTTTCAGGACACTTTCAGCCTGTAGGGTAGAATGTGTCAGCCCTCCCAGGTAAGCCAGACAGGAAACGTGACTAGATGCACTACTTCTACTTTATTGTAAGGCTACATGAGCAGAATCTTGCAAGTCTGAAAGTGAAAACTTCCTGCTGCTACTTTTACCTGTTTGATCAATTAGAGTGGATCCTTCCTGAGTTTTTTTCTCTGACCCTTTAGCCCCTGGCCTCCCGCCTCTCTTGTCTGAGTGCTTCCTAGCATTTCTTCCCCCATTTCCGCAAGGTCATCCTTGTGTTCCATTACAGTTGAGTTCCCCAACCTTTCCGGCTTTGTGGATCAATGGGGTGGGGGTGGGGATGGTTCTGTGTGAGTAGTGGGCAAGTGAGTGCATGCATACAGCTACATTTCCATGAGCGGCGGGCACACACACCTGCCGTTTGTGCAAATAGAGCATGTGCCCATGGGCTCGCCCGTTGCTTGTGCAAGCGGGGATGCACGCACACTCGCCCTCTACTTCCACAGCCTAGTTCCGAACAGCTCAAGACCCGGTAGTGGGCTGCAGCCTGGGGTTTGGGGACCCTTGTGTTACAGAATAGAAGCTCCCTTTCTCACAACTAACTGCCCCCAAATCGCTGAAAAAAAGCTTCTCCTTCTGATAATATCACCATATCAACAGGTATCCTGGGCCTATCCAGAAAGACAAGGGCCTCTGATGCTCTCAAACATTGCCTGGCCCACTTCATAAGCATCAAGATCAAATCTTCCACTAAGTAAATTCAAGCTAGTACAATGAAAGCTTGGATTATTGGTCTTTCCACACACATAGTATTCCCATATTTTATTTTTTATTGCTGGATCAAATAAAATCCTTCTTAAATTTCTGAACCCACAGTTGTGGAATTGTTATTCTATATATATGAAGACTGAAATATTTGTTGGGGAGGATGTGGAGCAGAAACACTACTATGTGGAAGTATTCTCTGTACTTCTCTATATTTGTGATGTACAATGAATTGTTCAGTTCCTCATTTTCTGAAGAAGATAATTATTCAAGGAAACGTGTTCAAAACTGGCAATTTGAGCAAAACGGTTTAGGGTTGCTTACTTGGAAGGCATTCCTCACTCATCTGCTCAACGAAAACCAAGAAAAGACTACAATATAGTTGCAAAGAAACCATCTGTTAGCAAAGATTTTGTATGATTTGCTAATGTGGCCCTGGATTAATCTTCTGTATTACATTTTCACAAAGAAGAACTGTGGAGGTAGAGTGTTGTGCATCAGCCCAGCCTCTGTAGCATATTTTACATTCTCCATCATATCTAAAACCGTGACACTTTGCTAATTGCCTCCTTACATCCTTGACCCCTTTAGTCAACTAGAGCACCTCCAAAGAAAGGCTAAGACTAAGCTCATCCCCCTGGGGCAGTCTGTGCTTTCTTTCTTACTGTAAAAGGGAAGGTATTTCCTAATGAGGATTGCCTCATTCCAACATTGTATGTGAGGAGGAAAGAATGGAGACGAAGGCAAGTTGCTATCATGAACACTCCCGCCCTTCCATTCAGCCTTGATCTTTTCCTTATTTCCTTTCTTTCTTTCTTTCTTTCTTTCTTTTTTCCTTCCTTCCTTCCTTCCTTCCTTCCTTCCTTCCTTCCTTCCTTTCTTTCTTTCTTTCTTTCTTCCTTCCTTCCTTTCTTTTTCTTTCTTTCTTTCTTTCTTTCTTTCTTTCTTTCCTTTCCTTCCTTCCTTCCTCTGTCTCTTTTCTTTTTTTTTCTTTTTCTTTTTCTTCAAGCTTTATCCTTTGGCTAAA